GCTCTACCTCTCCCATCTTCTGGAAAAACGGGCAAGTCCTGACCACACTACTAACAAGCAGAATGAGTGGGGTTATCTGCAGTTCCTCCCAGCGCAATTCTTCATCTTATAGGACTGCCAACAACATCTTTTTAAAGATGTTAAGGGTCTGTGGGGAGAAAGGGTCTGTGCCCTTTCTCACAAAAATTGCAGGAGCTCTTGGGAGTTCTACTGTTCTGGCAAATCTCCAGACAGAATTTATGTCTGTTAATAAATCTATTAAGCAGAAATACTTCTCATGTAAGGAAACATTCTAGACTCAAAAATCAAGATAACAACAACAACAAAAAAAAAGAGCAAGATAACAAAATAACAGAAAAAAGAGCCCCAATATATTACAAGTCCATCAGGCTTCCTTTTCCAAAGTTTAAACATGTTAGCTATATTCTGAAGTATTTCTCCTGTGTACCTTAAAAACTCAGCTTCTCTGACATTACACACTTAATGCATTTAATGTCACAGCACATTAATATAATTATTTTAATAAATATTAATAGCGTTATTAATAATATTAATATGTAATTTGTAACTATTAATAATAGTTACAATTAAATTTTATCTCTCAACTCCAAAAATCTCAGGGTACAGCTAAGACAGGTAACTGCAGAAGAGACTTGCAGAAGTGCTTCACCTCAAGATCTTAGTTCAATGAGCTACAAATGTGGCATGTGAAGGGGTCTTCTGACTGCTTTCTGCAGGCAGTGCCTCTTTCTGCCCTATCTTCCATGTATTTTCAGATAATTGACTTTAATTTTTGAGGCTACCTGAAACTTGGTAAGATTCCCACCATTGTGCAAACTCTTGTCCTCCCTTTTCTAGCACCAGCGTCAACGTCTTTCTTACCTTAATATAAAGCACTGCTGGCAGAGTCCTTATCTAGTTGATTGCTTACTCCTTCACAACCCCTCCTTGTTTTCCTCCAACTTCTCAAACTTAACCTATTAGTCCCTCCAATATTTAGCCCTACTATGTTCATCAGATCTACTTTTTAACTTTATACTCTTCATTTAGTCAATGCCTCAGAGGTTTGCTTATCACCACCTCAAAAAACTCATCATCTGCCATAGTGTGGATAGTAACCCACTGACAGCAAAGCACAGGACTGTTCCTGAGTGACCAAGACTTAGCTTGCAACTGTTTCCCTCGGTTCCCAGCTGTGTTCTCCATTTAACTATTAGTTTTCAGCTGGTAAGGCCATCTGTTGGGCTACACAGCATGTTAGACAGCAAGACCATAGATTCACTGTCCTCTCATTGTTACTGCTGTACAAATGTTAAGTAACAATGAGATACTTGAAATAACTCCCTGCTACTGAAGATGAAGTTGTGGTTAAGTTAAATTTGAGATCAGTTTTTTTGTCGTTGTTGTTGGTTTTTTGTTTTTTTGTTTTTTTTTTTGAGATCAGCATATTTTTTACCAGTACAGGCTGGGGACTGACCTTCTGGAGAGCAGCTCTGCAGAGGACACGGGCATCATGGTGGACGACAAGTTGACCATGAGGCAGCAGTGTGCCCTCGAGGCCAAGAAGGCCAATGGGATCCTCGGGTGCATTAAGAAGAGTGTCTCCAGCAGGTCAAGGGAGGTGATCCTGCCCCTCTACTCAGCCCTGGTGAGGCCGCATCTGGAGTATTGTGTCCAGTTCTGGGCTCCACAGTACAAGAGGGATGTGGAGCTGCTGGAGAGAGTCCAGTGCAGGGCCACAAGGATGATCAGGGGCCTGGAACATCTGCCCTATGAGGAGAGGCTGAGGGAGCTGGGCCTGTTCAGCCTGGAGAAGGCTGAGAGGGGATTTAATCAGTGTATAAAAATACCTCGAGGGAGGCAGTGAGGAGGATGGTGCTGGCCTCTTTTCAGTGGTGGCCACCAATAGGACTGGAGGAAACGGCCACAAACTGAAACACCAAAAGTTCCACAGGAACTTAAGGAAAAATGTTTTGACAGTGGGGGTGACAGAGCACTGGAACAGGCTGCCCAGAGAGGTTGTGGAGTCTCCTTCTCTGGAGATCTTCAAAACCCGCTTGGACGCAGTCCTGTGCCACGTGCTCTAGGTGACCCTGCGTATGCAGGGGGGTTGGACTAGATCTCTAGAGGTCCCTTCCAACCTAAGGATTCTATGATCAGGATTATCACCTGTTCACATGAATATGAAAGATACACATATACATCTGACCCCTGTTTATACTATCTTTGAGACTCTGTAAACCTAATGCATGGCAAGCAACGGAAAAAAAGTGTTTATATATGTGTGTGCACATGCAAATACCTATTTCTATTTAATTCATATTTTATGCATGATTATGTCTGACTCCACACTTTTCTTTATGAATCTGTTACACATGAAGATACAAGTAGCAATCAGCTTCAGTCCCAGTGGTTCTATTAGTTTTTATCTCCTAACATTTTCTAAAACGGTAGCTAGTATAAATAAAAGCAGCATTTTACAGGAACAACAGATTTACAAGTTTAATAAGACCACTTTCCTTCCTGCATGAGAGTCTACAGTGCATGATAAATCAGGCTAAGCAAGCTACTTATCAAATCTGAAGCCAAACACATTTTTTGAAGAAAACTTTAATTCTCTGAAGAATTTCAAGCTTATTTTCAAGATGTTAAATTATTGATATGGAAAATCAATTCCTTTTTCAGCTCAGGCAATATCATACAGTCATGCTGTATATAACAACAGCTAAGACAGCTTTTCTCTTTTATTAATTTCATGACCCTTTAGAATTACATTACTCACCTTTTCTTCTTAAGAATGCAGACAGTCACTAGGGTCAGCCGTGCAGCTTCTACTAAGTTCAGGAGAGAATAAAAGATTGGTCCATAAACAGGCTCTCAAAGCACATAGAGAAAAGAATTTAATAGACCAGCAAACTGTTTTTTTAAAGTAATGTTATTTAACTACTATAATCTAACTTAGACACTTAATCAGCAAATAAAATGGAACTAATTCTGTTCTGACAATAAACAGTTTCCCCAAGGAATCAAAGATAGAAGAATATATTCCACCCAAAGAATTTACAGGATTCACAAATAACCCTAGGAGGAAAACTGAAAGCACACCATAACAGGTCCTCACAAGTAAAAGCTTCCTTTACCCTGAACAGAAACTTAGGAGTGAACATCCCCATACACACTTTTTTTTTTTTACACTTTTATCTCAGTCCAAGTGATTTTATCATTTTCCATCCTGTAATGTTTCCAGAAGGTATCTTGGGCCCAACACAGGATAAGCTGATACAACCTTCTTAGAAAGTGTCCTAGATATTATGTTATAGAATATGTAAAAAAGGGAACAGATTATGTTATCAGTCTTTTCCTGTTTTAGAGAGGAACAGCAGAAGAGGGAGCACGAAATTATTAAAGGAGTGGCAACTGGCACCCTCATACCCCATCTCACATATATCTTAAACAGCAGTTTTAATATGTAATGCTGTTAGGTGCTAACTGAGAAATCTCTCTTCCCTTCTGTTCAAGAGTCCAGTTATATAAAGTCTCTACAGTGACTTGTAGTGATAAAGAAAAAATGATTATCCAGCCCTGTCATCCAGCTCACGTCTCCAACTGGACACCTCCTCCTATATGCCACTGTAATATCATGCAGAGTAAAGCAATCATAACAGAAAGAAAAAAAGTTGCGCTATGCACACAAACATAAATATATTTTGTCTCTAGAACAGCGTACCAGTTTAACTGCTCTCCAAGGCTCCTGTGCCAAGATCTGCTCCCATTTTGCTAATAACTGAGTGCTCCCAAAGCAGATGAAACGCAGATTCCAAACGCCACCCTGCAACTCCAGCAATGTTTCCAACAGAAACTATTCAGCAAAGAGACTGCAAATAATTGCAAAATAAGCAAATGCATTTTCTTGTATCTCCCCCGAAAAAATACTCAATTCTAACATGAAGCACATAATACTGGGAAACACTAAGTACATACTTTTCAATTCAAGCTTGGATACAATATATGGCCAAAATCTGAACAACAGAATTCTTGGAAAGACCTCCTGTAAAAGTTAAAATATCAGCAAATTATTTTCTCTATCACAATTTCCTCTTCCTAATCTCCAGTTTTCATCATACCACATTCCCAGTGTGGGCAAATGAGAAACTTTACATGGAAGGAAGCTTACCCAAGTGCTTTAGAGGGCCCTCACGAGCCCAGACAAAACATTCACAGAACATTAAGAACGTTATAAAAAAAAAAAAAAAGGGGGACTTGAGGTTTTGTGTTGTTTGTTCCTTTTTGTTTTTTTTGTTCCTTCTTACTTAGGCACCACTGCGCCGGCCGCCTCCCCCACGTCAGACCCGAGAAAGGAACCGGGCCAAGCCGGTCCTCCTCCCCCTGTCCCGCGGGGCGCCTCCGCATTA